TCTCTCTCTCTGTCTCTCTCTCTCTCTCTCTCTCTCTCTCTCTCTCTCTCTCTCTCTCTTCACATATGTAACCTGGATAGAACAAAAACTTCTAGAGGGTGTGTTCAGCATCTGATTATGTTCAAGAGGTCTGTTGTGTGTGCAAGAGTGACCATTGACTTTGGAGTCAGAAGACCTGGGTCTGCATTCCCACGCTGCCTCTAACTAGCTGGGTGATCTTAGACAAATACTGAACCTCTTTGAAACTCAGTTTCCTTCATCTATAAAATGGCCATAATCATCACCCTCCTTTGGTCTTCAGTTTCCTCATCTGTAAAATGAGGCATTAGAATACTGTTTCCTCCAGTGCTAAATTTACAAATCTCCTGTGCCTCAGTTTCTTCAGAGGTGAAAGGAATAAGTTGGTCTAGATGTCCACTAAGATCTCTCCCACCTGTGAATCAATGTTCCTGTAATTAGGTAAGATGTGCAAGTGCTTTGAAAACTATAAAATGCTATCTTAAAGTAAGTTATTATGCTTTCATACTCAGAGTCAGAAAGCCTGGGTTCAAGTCCAGGCTCTGACACTAGCTGCCAAGAGCAAATAGTTACGTTTCTCTAAATTTCTATTTTCTTATATGTAAAATGGGCATAATAACTATTGTACCACCTAACTTATGGAGTTTATGTTGCTGTGAAGTGCTCTATGAGACCTCATTATTATTTATCCTAAATTCTAAATGAGACTATGAGATCTCCTTATTATTATTATTATTATTTTCATTATTATTATTTTGTTCTCAACTTATATATAGTGGAGTATTGATTCAAATGGTCCTGGGACTAGTTACTTTTCCAACTATTGTTTATTATTGATGATATTGATGTGAAGATAAGTTTGATTTTATTTTTGGGTGAGGCAATCAGGGTTAAGTGACTTGCCCAGGGTCACACAGGAAAAATTTGATTTTGAAGCTTTGAATCTTTCCCTTCTGATAGACTGGATTTTCATCCACCTTTTAAAAAATATTGAAAACAGACCTATTCAGGCTCCTGTTTCCTGTCTATCTGGCTGTCCCTTTCTACTGCTAGCAAAGCTATTTCTGGCTGGGTGATGATTCCTTAGATAGAAATGAACAATAATATCCCTTTGACCCTATAGAGAGCAGAAAAGAAGATAGTACACACAAATGACACCCACCGCCAACTTTTATCCTGGACTTGGACTTCCTGGAGTGGCAAAGGTAATGCTAATACCACCTGGAAATATGGAAATGCCTCTAAACAGATTTTGACATTTTGAAGCTGACACTAGTCCATTATTTCCCTGGGGGATGAGGAAATGTCATGGTTCTGATGAGGTGTTATGTATAAGCGTGTGTGTGTGTGTGTGTGTGTGTGTGTGTGAAAGAGAGAGAGAGAGAGAGAGAGAGAGAGAGAGAGAGAGAGAGAGAGAGAGAGAGAGAGAGAGAGAGAGAGAGAGAGTCTAATTTAATAGTTGCACGTTCTAAGCATCATGGTCAAATATAAAGCACAGAGTGGCTGGGTGGGACCAGGATGTCACACATCTTCACTGAGAACAGGCTGGGTGTGGGGAGGCTCTCCCTCTTCTCTCATTCCTCTGACATTTACTCCCTAACCCACCTCCCAGCTTAATTCCACTGCAGGCAGGGATTGATTTGAAGTCAATTATCATCAGAAAACAGATGTTGTCCAGACAGCTGCAGTTCTCTCCCCATTCTTACCACAGGTCCCCAAAGAGATGAAAGCAGCCTTCTGTGATGGGATGCCACCCATTGGAGAAAGTCATGTAAGGACTCCATCCCAACCAATGCTAACAAAAGGAAAGTGTCACCAGGCTAACAGAAAAATGGCCTTCTCTGGCATCTCTTAACTTGAAAGTTTTCACCAGAGGTAGAAAATGACCTGAGCTTAGGTTGTTTCCATCAATTACGCATGCGAAAGTGCTACTGTAAAAACATGAGATGATACTGGTAGATACCTCACTGGACTGGGAGTTGAGGAAATTTGGGTTCAAATCCTCCCTCCATCTAGATACCTATTTGCTGTCTACAGATGAGTTGTTTAACCCCTCAAGGCCTCTGTCCTAAATTTATAAGACTACAGCTTGGAGTAATGGATAAAGAGCCAGCCTTAGGGTCAGGATGCCCTGGGGTAGCTAACATCCCACCTTGGAGGCAAGCACCTCTAAGTGGCCCAGGCACCAACAGAAGATTGGAGAGGCGGTGGGAATGGGCTGTTGGTAGAGGGAGCTTGTTCAATAGGGAGCTGGTTCCTTACACCATTTAAATCATAGGTCCAGTCCCAGTTCTTCAAATTATTGTTGCTGCTGCTAAGTTGTTTCTGACTCTTCAGGACCCCATCTGGAGTTTTCTTGGCAAAGATACCAGAGCAGTTTGCCTTTTCCTTTTCCAGCTCATTTTACAGATGAGGAAAGTGAGGCAAACAGAGTTAAATGACTTGCCCAGGGTCACCCAGCTAGCAAGTGTCTGAGGCTGGATTTGAACTCAGGAAGATGAGTTTTCCTGACTGCAGGGGATGTACTCTATTCACTGCAGCATCACCTAGCTACCTCAGCTCCTTAAATAATAATGATAATAACTGACATTTATAGAACACCCTAAGGGTTGCAAAGTATTTTATATATGTGTGTGCATGTGTGCATATATGTCTATGTATGTATGTGTGTGTATATATATACATATACATACATACACACAAATACTCATTTGCTCTCCATAGCAACCCCAGAAGGTAAATAATACTATAGTCCTCTGGATCTAGTTTTGAAAAATCATGTTTGTGACCCTGGGCAAATCACAACCTCTCAGTGCTTTAGGCAACTTTCAATAGTTGTGGAAAAGGTGCTGATCTGTACCTGTAGAGGGAGTTTCCTCCCTTGGGAGGTCCCTATGCCAATGAAATCACAGATCCAGTCTCAAACCCCTATAAATACCTAGCCAGAGCTAGGTACCTAGTTAGAGCTAGATGCACAAGCTATGCACCAGAACTGGTCAGTGCATCTCATTACTCGTGGAACAAAGAATTATGAGGCATATGTAGTCTCATGACAACCACACAAGGTAGGTGGATTCTGTGGGTATTATTTTTATAAAGGAGGAAATTGAGGCAGGGAGAAGTTGAATGGTTTGTCCAGGAGCCCATAGCTAGTAAGGGACAACTAGGTGGCACGGTGGGTAGAGCACATGGCCTGAAGGGAAGAAGACTCATCTTCCTGAGTTCAAATGTGGCCCTGGATACTTATAAGCTGTGTGACCCTGGGTGAGTCATTTCACCCTGTTTGCTTCATTTTTCTCAGCTGTAAAATGAGCTGGAGAAGGAAAGGGCAAACCACAAGAAACCCCCAAATGGGGTCATGAAAAGCCGGCCACAACTGAGATGATTTAATAGCAGCAACCATAGCTTCTGAGGCAATACTTGGACTCAGGTCTTCTTGACTCCAAACCTAGTACTCTATCTGGGGCCTCAGCAGGCATCCAGTCCAACCTCCTACCTGAACTGCAGTCCCCTCAACAGCATCTTTGACAAGTGGTCACCCAGCTTCCATTAGAATACCTCAAGGACGGGCAGCTCACCACCTCCTAAGGCAGACTTTCTCACTTTTTGGACAGCTGCTATTGTTAGAATATTATTTTTCCTGACATCCATATGAAATCCAACTGCCTGCAACTTCCACCCACTGCTTCTGCAGAACAAGACTTTTCCCTGCTTCACACGACAACTTTGAAAACGTGGATCGTGTTTTCCCCTCAGGCCCTCTTTTCTCTGTAGACAATCTTCTTACGGCTTGTGAGTTCCTTGAGGTCAGAGATCGTCTTTGTCCAAGCTTTGTCCAAGCTATGCCCAGCTCAGCACAGTGCTTGGCACATACTAGGTGCTTAATAAAAATTAAGTGATGGATTGATATGGCATGCCCTCCAGGCCTCTTATCATAGGCCACCATTCCTTGAATGGGTTACATTTGGTCCATGTCTTTCCTAAAATGTGGCACCTGGACCTGAACAAAGTAGATTAAGGATCAAAGGCAAGCCTAGCCTGGAGGCAGCATGATTTAGCAGAAGAAGACTCAGTCAGAGAACTTGCTTTCAAATCCCAGGTGCGTTATTTACTACCTTCGTGATTTCGGCCAAATTACTCTACGTATCTGGGCCTCAAGTACCCTAACCGTAAAATGAATGTGCTTAAACTAGATCTTCTCTAAGGACCTTCTAACCTCTGACATCCTCTTTTCTAAGGCCCCTCCCAGCTTTGATATTCCCTGTTCTAAGGTCCTCCCAGCTCTGACATTCCTTGTTCTGAGGCCCCTCCCAGATTTGACATTCCCTGTTCTAAGGTCCCTCTCAGGTCTGACATTCTGTTCTAAGGTCCTTCCCAGGTCTGACTAGAAAGAAAAGCTGAAGAATCATAAAGCATTGACGATCTGCAATAAATATGTATTTACTTCCAGAAATGTTTCTGACAGGGTGATACCCTCCAATGACCTAGACCTGAGGGACAACTCAGGCCAGGCAGCTGTTTCTTAGCCTCTCGTATTCTATACATTTCCATAAAGTATAATGCTATATTTATTAATTATCTACCATGGTAGGAGTTCCAACTAAGTCATGGTCTCTGAAAGCTTACAGTCTCTAGTGGAGTGGACTTGGATACAACAAACATATTAGAACATATTTCTTTCTTCCTTCCTTTCTTTCTTTCTTTCTTTCTTTCTTTCTTTCTTTCTTTCTTTCTTTCTTTCTTTCTCTCTTTCTTTCTCTCTCTCTCTCTCTCTCTTTCTTTCTCTCTTTCTCTCTCTCTTTGTCTGTCTGTCTGTCTGTCTGTCTGTCTGTCTCTCTCTCTCTCTTTCTGTATACATGACTCTAGGTGTAACTCAATTTGGTTCAATTCATTCTGGTTCCAGTTTAGTTTAATTTGACAAATATTTTATCAAACACTTATTCCATGTGAGGCACTCAGTCCCTATTAGCAAAGACCCTTACCTGTTCCTTTTCTGAATATGGGTTGTTCAAGACAACGGGCACGTTGTTCTTCCCCCACAAATCATTGAAGACACGATCATTCTCCATCCCAAGCGGCAGAAGCTTGTGGGACTTTCCTTCCAAGTCTCTGAAAATGAGAATGTAGGGGATAGGGATTAGGGGGATGGAATGGGAGACATCAGAGTTGTCTCAACCTGGAGGTACTAAGAATAGGTCTTTGGGGCTCATCTTTCATAGAATCATAAAATGTGATAGTTGAAAGTGATCTCAGTTTTCACTTAACTCTAGTCCAACTCACGTACAGAAAAGGAATTCTCACTAGAACATTCAACAAGCATCCACCTAGACTCTGCTTGAAGTCTTTCAAGGAAGGGAAACCTCTTAAGCCATCCCATTCTGCTTGTGCACAGCTCTTATTGTTAGAAAGTTTTTCTTCTACTTCCATGGTCTTGAATCAATGAGTGAACGAGCACCTATCAGGGACCTGTTGTGTTCCAGTCACTATATTAGATGCTAAGGACAAAAAATGAAAGTCTCTGCTCTCATGGACCTTACATTTTACTGAGCTCATCACAATATGTGCACAATCAATAACTTTATAGGCATTTATTAAATACTTACTATGTGCCAGGCACAAGGCAAGGTGTTGGGTATAGAATGACAAAGAATGAAGCAATCTTCCCTCAAGGAGCTCCATTGGATTCAAACACATTGATATACACTATATATGCATATGGGCATATATATATATGCATACATATATGTACATACATACATATATATGTATATACACACATATATGATAGATAAATGGTAATTGTTTAGGGGAAGGGATGAACAGCTGGGGATTAGGGTGTGATCAGGAAAGGCTTTCTGCAGAAGGTGGATCTTAAGCCAAGTCTTGGAGGAGCCAAGGGATTCTAAGACTTTAAAGGACCCTTCACAGAATCAGAGGGCAATGAGATGGTGTGTGGTACAAAAGAATTTTGGATGATTTTCATCAGGAAACTGAGTTCAAGTCCCTGTTCTTGCCAGCTATGTGATTGTGGATAAATTACCAGTTTGATCCTTATTTTCCTTGTCTGTAAAATCTTGAAGGGTTTGTAAGCCTACAATTGCTATTGAAATGTGAGGGTTTTTTGTTTTTTGTTTTTTTGCTTTTTGGTGAGGCAAGTGGGGTTAAATGACTTTCCCAGGGTCACACAGTTAGTAAGTGCCATGTGTCTGAGACTGGATTTGAACTCATGTCCTCCTGACTCTAAGGCTAGATAGAGCTCTATCCACTGGGCCACTTAGCTTCCCCTTGAAATTTGAGTTATTAACTCTGAGAGGTCACTTGTAAAGTACCATCAACAAAAGGAATTAAAGAAATTTAAATTGTTAGAGGAAAGGAGGTGGGGAAAATAAGTCAACTTGGCAATGTTTTATTTAGCATAGGATCAAAGGATCATAGCTTTAGAGGCAGAAGGGACTTTAGACACCATCTAGTCTAATCTGTTCATTTTGCATGTAAAGAAACTGAGGCCCAGAGAGGTTACATATCTTGCCAAGTCACACAGGAGGGAAATGATAGAGCTGGGATTTAAACTCAAGGCTTCTGTTCTAATCAGCCATCTTTCTATGCTACGTGCCTCCAAGACCTAACCTTTATGACCTTTTTCCCACATGAACTTAGAGACATCAAATTGGGAAGACTCTTACAGATTTCTCCTCTGACCCCCTTCAATTGACATGTAATGAAACTTTGGTTTGGGGCATATCCAGATCACTTAATATGGAGGCATTCATTTGGAAACACCAGGGACTTGCTCCTTGGGGAAGGTGTTCCATATTCCCCTACCATGTGGGTGGGAAGAGCCTCTTTCCATTGGCTTGATAGTTAGAATTGGCTGTATTTAAAACTGCCAGACTGAAACAATCTCTCTCCAGTGACATAAGGATATGTGTGACGGTCTTATTGACCCATAGCATGGGCACCATGAACTGATCTGGGTAAAGGTAAGGCTTATCTCCTTCCCCATTTCCACCATAAGCGTTGTGGCCCTGAGAAATGGCCTGGGTGTCTAGGCATAGGAAATAGAGTCCCCAGTCCCTAAAAGCTTGAGCCATAGTGACTGGGAAACAGGATTCCAGGCTAAATGTTGCTGCCAGCCTGGCAGGTAAGCCCTAAGAATCCAGGATGCTATAAGCCTAGGCGGGTTTTGGACTTGAAACTTGGTGGGACCATGCTATATAACTGACCTAATCTGTGAATTTGACTCTTTCCCCTCTCCAGAGACTGAGGTGGCAACAGGGTAAAATATGCTCCCACCCAAGTGTTAAGGGTGA